GTGGTGTGCTTCCATGTTTCTTTGTTGAGCTGAAAGTGCTTGTAGCTTTCTGACTGGTGTTAGCAATCTGACCCATGTCTACATTGCAGGTGATCATGGCCACTAACCGGGCTGACACCCTCGACCCAGCGCTCCTTCGGCCCGGCCGCCTGGACAGGAAGATTGAGTTTCCCCTGCCGGACCGGCGACAGAAGCGGCTGGTGTTCTCTACCATCACAAGCAAGATGAACCTTTCAGAGGAAGTGGACCTTGAGGATTGTATCCATAATGGAGGCCATACAGTTTTACTGTATATTTACTGTTTCTAGAAAATACCACTAACAAACCCAAAATTTATTCCCCAGAAAAGTCAGAGTGCCTGAAGTAGATAGGGACCATATAGAATATGCAAGGCCATTTTGTAATCTTGTTATGGCAGTAGTATTTAGAGAATTTAATCAAGTTACACAAGACTAGAAGTTGAAACATTTAGCAATTTTTATTATTTAGTAAAATAACTGTTTACTGGTACAATTTAACTTGCACAACTGTTCTAACTAAATGTAGTCTGTCTGGGAACTTTCCCACCACAGGAACTTTTTTCTGGAGCCTGGAATTTCTGTCACGTTCCCACCACAGGAATTGGTAGCTTCTCGGAGGAAGTTCCCGAACCTTTTTATTTTTATCACCTATCTGGAGTAGGTACTTTTCATTTGACCAGAAACTTCTGGGTGGGACTTATAGCGATTTAATCTTTCCTGATTAGTTGACCACAGGCACTGGCACTACCTTGGAAGTTACGCATAAGTGTGGGTAAAAGATATAGTAGTAGTAGAGCAAAAATTTCAGTTTATATCTGCCTCTCAATTACATAACATGCATTTATGAATACATTATTTTTCATTGCGTCTCCATATTTCTGCACTGGAAATTTCAATCAAAAATACATGAGAAAGTTGGTGCATTTAATGTAACCGAAATACCAAAATAATTCTGATTGCTCTACTACTCCTTTTACCAGCACTTCTGTGTTACATGCAAGTTGGAACTGGTGCTTGTGGTCAACTAATCACAATTTTATCTCTGTCCCCACCCCAGTAGTTGCTGGTCGAATGAAAAGTACCTACTCCAGATAGGGACCAAAAAAAGGCTGCTAGACTACTACTGTGGGAAAGGCTACTACTGTCAGCAACTAGAATCATATTCCTGTGGTGGGAATATGAGTTTGATTCCTAAAAAAAAAGTTTCTCTGTTGGGAAAGGGTCTAGTATGTGCTGCAATGGGCTTGATTTTAATTCTAGAAATGACTAATTTCTTCATAACTAACTGAAATGAATACATTGGCCATTTTTCTTTAACAATAGTTTGTTGCCAGCACTGCTGTAGTCATGATAATTGATTACAAGTGTTTTGAACAGTGCTTTCTGTGCTTGTGTAATACCAACAAAGTATCTTACCCAAAGCATTTTGTGGCATCACTCACTGCAACCAGTGTCATTGCAGCAATGAGAAGTATTGACATATTAACAGCAGTTGAAACAGCAGTATATTTATTGCAGTAACCACATAAATTGACTTGTTTAAATTGAACTGAATGTGCAAGTTCCTGTTTTGATGTCTTTAACCAAAATACAGATGTAGCCCGGCCTGACAAAATTTCTGGAGCAGACATCAACTCAATTTGTCAGGAGGTAAGCAAAGGAGTATTTTTCATTTGGGGGGTGAGGCTATGAGTTAGTCATTATTTGTATATAGCATGAAAACAGGCAATTTGTCATTTTCTGGAAGTTGACACTTCACAGTATATGATCCTATATCTTCTGTCTTTGTGATTTCCCACCCATTCTGTGTTCCTGTTTTCCAGGCTGGGATGCTTGCAGTGCGTGAAAACAGATACATTGTTCTGGCAAAGGACTTTGAGAAGGCCTACAAAACTGTTATCAAGAAAGATGAGCAGGAGCACGAATTTTACAAGTAGAGGGGGAAAGGAATGAAAATAAATGTTGCTGTGATGCACTCTCGCTTCCTTCTCTCTCTCTCTCTTTTTTTTAATCTAAGGTGTTGTGATATCTGAATAGACTTCCAGGCATATACATACTAATGCTGTCTGGAGGATTGTATGTTTTTGTAGATTGTGTGTACTCTATAAGAAACTTTCTTGTCTCATAACTGTATGTGCTTCATTACAAGCCTCTGTCTGTAGAAACATTTCCAGTACACAACTATTTTTGGGTGTCTGTAAAACCTTACATTTGGCATTTTAGAATTGTCATAATTGTGGTTGCAATATGGTTCATATAGATTTGGGGAATTATGGGGGAATTGTGGGGAAAAAATGCCAACCAAAGGAACTAATATTTGCTTAGATTCTACTAATGGTATTTACATGTTCATAGTATACTTTTTTACCTTGGAGTTTGTTTGAAAAGGAATTAGTAATTGGATGTTATGGATTACCGCAGCAGTTGATGTATGAAAACATGAAAATACATTAGTGGTAAATGTGGGCAGAATTTGTAAACTGGAGTAATGTCTCTTTTCCTGTGGGGCTGAGTAGATGCCTAATATGGAACTGGTTCCGTGCTTTTCCATGGCTAATTACCTGGTACCATGTCTGAAAGACTAAGCACAGAATGCCATGCTGGAGCCAAAGTCATACTACTGATAGCCAGAAGGGGGAGTAAAATTTTACTACTAAATGTGGACAAAAGCTTTGCCAGTGAGTTTACTGGAGGAGAAAAATAATCGATTTGAAATTTCACAACTGAACATGTATACCTATGCAAGAGACCTACATGATATATATACTTATATATACATTAGTGTGTGTGTGTGTGTGTGTGGATCAGAGGATCAGGTTCTGTATTACACATCTTACACATCCTGGAATGTCTTCTTTTACATAAATTTAGCATATTTTTTAGGCATGGACTAGACATGCATTGTATAAAAAGGCAATGCAGATCTGTAAGGCATAACCTGCTGTTAATTACATTGTTTTAGTATAAGTTATATATAATGCTGAAAGAATGCATATATAGCAAGACCTCTAAACAATAATAAACAGTTAATTATATAGTATTTGTGAATATGGCAGTATTTAAATTAGTCTGCTCCACCCTGATTTCGTTAAGGTTAATACATTCAAATTACGTTATACACTGATGTACTGTCATTCATCACATAAAATGTAATTGCGCGAAATTATATTAAACAACGATAATCAGCCTGAAAAAGCATAGGTTCTTTGAAGTGGCCTGCGTACAACATTCTTATACAAAAATTCTTATATGTCGATACTTGTTTCTTTAATCAATAATAATTTATTGTTATTCATGCTTTACGTGTGTACAGTCCTAATACTGTATGACAAACAACAGTAATAATAATCCATAACCATTTATCTTGTACAAGGTCGCTGGGAACCAGGGGGACACCCTGTACGCAATGCCGGTGTTATGCCGAAAAAGGCATCCCTGCCGTAGAATGCATGCCTGTCTCTAAATGACCGATTGGTCGCTGATCTGAAACGAGTTGAGCTACTTTGTCGAGTAAGGTTACCGTAGTGCTAATCAATAGCCCCAAAAAATCCGTAAAATTCTAACCCTAACCCCCAAAAAACCCCTAAAACCCTAACCCCCAAAACACCCCTAAAACCCTAACCCTAACCCCTAATAAACCCCTGACCCCCAAAAAACCCTTAAAAGCTCAACTCGTCGGAACACCGGCATGCATTCTAAGGCAGGGATGCCTTTTTCGGCATAACACCTGCTCAGCGCAGGGTGCACACTGAGGGCTAAAGACGCCATTTAACCTAAACCTAAATGTTTTGGTTTTTAACTGCGGAAGAAAAGCGAAGTACGTGTAAAATAACACGCAGAAACGCTGCCGGAACTCGAGTATCCAACTTGTGAGGTACAAGGTTACAGTGGTAACCACCTTGCCGCTGTGATAATGGTAACAGTATAAAATACTTCCCATTATTTGTGCTTTAGTGTTTTCCGTGCTCGTTCTAAGCTAAGCTGACACATGACGACATAGTAGGTCAACCATACGCTAGCAGGGTGGGAGGAAGAGGAAGAGGGAGGAGAATTTCAGAAATGAGGAAAAAATACTCTGCGACTGCATAATTACTTGGTGGTAATTTTACAGTACATCACTTCCTGTAGCAGCAATGGGCTTTGACTGAACTTTATCGACTGACGAATAAATCCATACGTGAAGGTACTAAATAGAAACTGAAAAGGCGATAGCTACATGACATTGAAAGGTAACTGACCACGGGCACAAGAAGAAACGTAAGACAAGTATTTCATTCACACGATGTTGTGTTTGCTTACCAACGTAAGTGTTTTTCTTGGTATTTTTGGTAAATGCTGAACCAGTTTCCTTCATCTTTAAACGTTCAACTGTTTTTTTTTTTTATTTGTATTCGCACAGTTTTTATTTAAGCATAAGTGACTCATTGTGTGTTGCTACCTCATTTAAATTAAAACGCATATGCCTAATGGTTAGGTTGTTTCATGAAGCTTGGCGTTTTTTTGCTACGTAGATTGTTAGTGTAATAATCGGTAAACTGAATTTAGCTACTACTTAGATCTACTGTCGACAACTAGTGTATTCGCTGTTTAATTATAGCAAGTACAGTTCGGCCTATTTGCGACATGGAATTTTCTTTTGTAATTATATAAATGTTTTTTTTTTTGTTTAAAAGCTTGAGGTATGTTGAAAGAAGCAGTAAAACAATTAGCATCCAAGCAAACTTTAGATTACATTATGGAGCATGCTAGCCTGCTCAGGCTTCCATTCTCTTGGACTTTGGGGCGGGCACGCGAACTTTATTCAATCACTATTTTTTTTACAAGTCCTTATAGCATACTTGCTCTGAAACCATCACCGTGACTTCCCATCGCCCCGTTAAAGTTGAGAAAGTTAGTTTATAAAAGAAATATTAAAAGTTATTTTGAATACATACATTTACGTTCATAGACTTAACAGTACCAAGTTGTTTATGAATGCCTTTTATAGCATTAATTTGCATTTCTTTTTAGTAGATGCTTTTAGCAGTTTTTTAGTATAATTGTGTCATCTTGGTGTTTAGTACTAATGATGTAGTGATCTGTAGTGAAACAATAGTTTCAGGATTTCAGTTGGGTAAAGCGATGTAATACCAATTCAGGAAGAATGTTCTTTAAAATGTGAAAGGGAGGGAATTAATGAGTTTGTGTTAAATACAGGTTTTAGTGACTTCATGTCACTTGACTCCTTTGTATGTGATACCTTTCAAATGTACTTTACTGGATCATCTTTTTTAATCGACAGTTTTTCTGGTGATAAAATACCCTTTAATATTCCTGGTATATAAACCAATTGTGACACACTAGAGACATTTTGGAGAGAATAACTTGAGGGTGAATTTCTGTAGTCTCTCCCCCCTCCCACCCAACTTCTCCCCAATTTTTTTTTTAACAGAGCAGATTCAAAACCTCCTTTTGTTTCATGTGTCATATTTTACCTCTTAATTTATTGTGGTATATATGCCTGGTGCTTAACTCTGTGCAGTGTTGAGATGGTTGTAGAAAAATGCAAATAAACATTCTTGGGATGACAGACAAAATCCATGCCTTAAATTGTGCAACAGGTGCAGCATTCCTACGGCCAAAACATGCAACTTATGCAAACAGTTTACATTCCATTAAAAATGTACTCTTAAGGGCAAAATGCATATTTACCAAGGTATATAATACAACCTTGTTTCCAAAAAATTCAGCAGCGCCCTTAACCCCAAGCTCCCCAGGCTGCCCTTCACAGCCAAGATTGCAAGCAAGATAGGGGAGGTGAAAAGAGAATTTCCCCAATAAAGTCAATTAAGTATTTGATGGTGATAATAATAATATTATTAAAAAGACAACATATCAAATGTTGAAACAGAAATTGTATTAAATTTGAATTTTAATGCCAGCAACACATTTCAAAAAAGTTGAGCCAGGGGCAGCAAAAGACTTTAAAAGACTTTAAAAGTTGTGTTATGCTAGAAAAAAACACTTGGTTGAATATCTCACAACTAATTAGGCTAATTGGCAACAGGTCAGTAAGATGATTGGGTATAAAAAGAGTCTCCCAGGGAGGCTGTGTCTCTGTAGTGAAGATGGGGAGAGATTCACCACTCTGTGAAAGACTGAGTGGGCAAATAGTGCAACAATTCAAGAAGAAGAAGTTTCTCAAAGTAATATTATAAAGAATTTGGGAATTTCATCTTCTGCAGTGCATAATATCATTAAAAGATTGAGAAAATCTGGAGAAATCTCTGTACGCAAGGGACACAGCTGAAAACCAATATTGACTGTCACCCACTGAAAACATTTGCCGCATCATGAAAAAAAAGTTGTCGTAGGAGAACCCTAGCTGTTGAGCAGTTGAAATTAGTACTGGGCGGTATACCGGTTCTTACTGAATACTGTTTTTTATTATTATTATGATATTAATTTTTCTTATACCGCAATACCGGTTTAAATAGCCTACACAACGTTCAGAAAGTGGCGCAGCTGAAAGGAGTGACCTTTTTCACTACTGCACTGCTAAAAATGTACCACGAAAGATCATAAACAAGATATAGCTGATGCTGGAGTTGAAAATAATGAGACACTGGGGTTGTCAAAAATCGATTCTCAGATACTAATCGATAATAAAAATTAGTATCTGATTACTCATTTTCACCATTATTAATACCAACAGTGCGGTTTTTGCCTCATTCGCCATAATTCATACAGCACCACTACAGCACAGGTGCGCGTGCACGCACGCACTCGCACACTACGCACTCGCACACTACACACTCGCGCAGCCCCTCCCTTGCTCTCAATAGCCACAGAAGGCATTCGCACTGGTTAACACACACATACCGAGTTGGCCAACCATGGCATATGCTGCAGTTGAAGGCACTTCAACCAGCTATTTTAGTAAAAAAAAAACAAAAAAAAAAACACAAGTGCCGTTTGGAAGTATTTTGCAGACGAGCATGGAAAGGCTAAGGATGTTGATAAGCCTCTATGCAAACAGTGCTACAAAGTTGTGGCAAGTAGCACGTCAAACCTGGCGAAGCATCCTAAGGACCGACATCCTGGTCTTTATGAGAAATTTCGCTAGGTCAGTAAAGCTCGCGTTCCAGCAACACGGAACTATTAAACACTTATCAAAAATGTTAACTTGCCCGGCGCACACCTTGGCATTAGCCGTTTATCTAAAAGCAGTTAACCAACAAACACGTTAGCCATATGTTATCATTATGGTAGCAGATAGTCGCAATGTCTAATAATAAAATTTATATAGTTAATGTGGGAACAATGCAAAAACATAAAACAAAAACGTGTCCTGTATAATCCTGTAAAATGTGGTAAAAGCCCAGTCATACTTTAAAAAAAAATACCGTCGTATACCGTGAAACCGATATAACTTTGAAAAATACCATAATATAAATATTTGGTCATACCGCCTAGCTCTAGTTGAAATCCTCAATTTATC